CTTCGGTCGGTCGTACCGGTATGATGGTTGAAGTCAGCCACACTGTCAAATTCAAATCTCCGCTACAAAGGAAGAATAGCTGAGATGAATGCCGAATCTGGGGACCAGAGAATGGTTGTTGAAGTGTGCGTCTTGCGAAACGTAAAATGGTACTCCCTGCCGTACAGCTGCGGATGTCTCATAGCTTTTTCTCCGTAATTATTTCTTATGGGCTTGATTGGTCGTGATTTGTACATATACATTCTTACCACCAACGATAAGGAGAAAACCTACGATTTGAGAAATCAGCTAATTTATGAAGATCAGCTCTGCATGAAGGTCATCTTATTGTTTCTAGGAAATCCTTGGTTTTTCGAAGCAACCTGCATTTCAGCGAAAAACCATTGATACAAACTGAACATCGCAACCAATCCTCTTCTTTTGCAGCATTCGCTTCTATGATTTAAGGACTCTTATTAGCCGCAATAGCTCAAAACTCAGTTTCATGCAGAGAGAGTTTTCCTAGAATTTGTATGAACAGGAGTTTTCCTAGAATTTGTATGATATCTACAGCCAGACCCTGACTAGGCTGTCAGTCTCCTGCCCCTCAATGCTTGCCTAACTCCTACGATTTTTTCTTGTTTGTGGCTGTATAACACACCGAACACGTTTGGCGCCCCACCGAGCAGCCGAACATGTTTGGACACTCGCCCAAGCGGGAACCGAACATGTTCGACCGAATGCAAATTAGGGGGCTGCCGAGCGAGTCCTCATATGTGGAGTGTGTGTGGGGTGTATCTGTGTGCGTGTGGTGTGTGTGTGTGTGTGTGTGTGTGTGTGTGTGTGTGTGTGTGTGTGTGTGTGTGTGTTCAGGAGTGACGAGCGATGGTCCCCAACCTTATATATATAATTAGAAAACATAATTGAAAAAAAAGTTTGAGCTCGGTCTATTTTGAGGCACGTTTGGGCTCGGTACCGAGCGTTCGGGTTTGGTCACCGAGCCCGATCGCGATGCTACGCAGGTTTGCGGTTCCGTAACTTACGTATTAGTTCGCCGCCTGTGGCATAAGCAAGGCAACCAATGCCCGCAGAAAGAAAAAAGAAAAAAAAGAAAAGGAGGGAGAAAATTCGAAAGTGCAGACAGTCGCAATGCATGGTAAGCACTGCAAAGAGGGGCACTTTTGCAACCCTTCCACCCTACAAGATAGCAAGCACTGTAAAAGGAAAACTCAGTCTCGCTGCCCGTTTTGCAATTTTGAGGGTCTAGTGTGAGCATACTCTGACACCGGGGGCAAAAAACAAAATGGATATTGCGCAAATTTCACCAAGCGCTAAAATTTCTTTCGCTGTTAAATTTGCAAACGAAACAGAGAAAATTAGCATAGCCCATGAGAAATAAGAAGCATTAGAACGACGTCCTACAAATATCATAAACTGTCCGCAGTTTAGGGATCTAATGCTTTTTATTTCTTATGGGCTTTGCGAATCTTCTGTGTATCGTTGCAAATTCAACAGAGAAGAACTTTCTAGCGCTTGGTGAAATTTGCGCAATATCCACAAACCCTAAACCATCTCACATAACGCGCCCTTGTCATGCACGTATACAAGCTGCGCGCCGCTACTAAGAGAAGACGCATCTTTCCGGCATTTCCAGTCAAATACAGTCCTCACAAGGATGCATTGTTTTTGCCTGACAACCGGCAACATAACCGTCAATACACATTTTCCATCCGAAAATATTTATGCATCAGCAGCTTGCCGCTACTAAGAGAAGATGCATCTTTCCAGTATTTCCAGTCAAATACAGTCCTCACAAGGCTGCATTGTTTTTGCCTGACAACCAGCAAGATAACCATCAATAGATTCAATACACAATTTCCGTCCGAAAATATTTATGCATCAGCTGGAGGAGAGAGGAACAACACCAGCAGTAGGAAACATCTATGTGCCATCACGCACGCAGACCAAAGAGCATTTCACAGCGGTGCCACCGTCATCCCCTGAATACATCGTACAATCACTACAGCTGTATTTAGACTGAAAGATTCCCCAGATACAGCTATAATGACTGTACATTGTATTCGGGGGAAGAAGACAGTGTGCATGGTTTAACAGAAAGACTGACAAGAAAGACTGACCTCAATACTGCTGCCCCAACAGTCACTGAGCACAGCATTCAGGCCGTGAGAATAGTCCCTTTATTATAGACTCTATACAGACAAGGCATTTCCCTTGATACAGCGTTTGAAGCGCGGTAATTTGGCTTTTTTGCCTTGGACGTCTTTCTGCATTTTTTACTTCTTATTATTCTTTTCGTTTACTTTTTCTCGCTTTTCTTGCTCCAACCAAAATTCACTGCCACGGGAAGAAAGAAAAATGACCCTTCTTCACCGTCACTGTATTGGTATCTGGGGCTCGGGTGTGGTAGCAACCACACTTTTTGGGGGGTTCCTCGGCACCGAACATTTTTTGTCTTCTACAATTCTAGCTGTCTCGTAGCACTTAAATGTTAAAACCCACATACAATTAAAGCATGAAGTTGTTCCAGCAAACGGCCCCGTCTATGTTTAGAGAGAACTCTCTCTGAGGGTCCCATTCCAACCAAAGAACCAAAAACAGATGTCGAAATAAAACAGGACGTCCATTTCCATAGTGTTTGTGTTTGTGTTGAATTGTATCGTTCCACTTCCCTTCTGACACAAGGGAATCCTCACACTAAGACTTTTTCCAGTTAGCACTGGACATAATTCTGGACATGATTCCGCCCGGATTCATCCACGTCCGACTGTAGTAGCTGTTGTCTTATAGGAAGGAAGTCCCTACCCAATGCCCCGTCATTATTGCTGCGTCTGGACTAAAAAATGTCCCAAATACAGCTATAATGACCAGCCGTTATATTCAGGGGCAGACGGTAGTGAGAATAAACCCTACGTGCTCGCCACCTCCTCTGTCCTCTTCTCGTTCGTCACGCTCAGTGTCCACTATCCCCTCTTGTCCCTCTTCTTGGAAACACCGCCATTTTTTATTTTTTTTTTTGGGGGGGGGGGGGAAAACACCACCGTTTTGCCAGATATCAAGTGGGAAGGTTGTGTGCATTTGACCGACTACATCAAGGAAAGGACAAGGGAACCAAGGAAATGGAAACCGGAAAGAAGATGCATGGCTGCAATGCACCTGTTGATATATGAAGAGCATCACAACCACTTTACTACGACCAGCATCATGTTATTCGATGCGCTTGACTGATTAAATGGGCTGACAGTGATGAAGGGGATATATTGATTGGTTAATTGATCCGGTCACCGACTGATCACTTGCTAATTGCACAATTTCCACAGTTAATCTATTTCAAAACATATGCTGTAAGCATGCATAATTATTAACCCATCCATTTTCTAGCTTTCTATCTTTTCTTCCACCTCTTCTTTCTTAAAATGTCAATATTAATCTTTGTGAGTTTGTAGTACTTTGTACATTGGTGTGCACCATAAGCTTTGTTTGCTAGGTCATCACTTATTGGGAAATCTCACCTTGTACTTCCATGCTGCCCGTCTGCCTTTCTTCGCCAGAAAGGAACTTCCTCGAGGACGCTCCTCACCGCCCCTCCCTCCCTCCCCCCTTCCCTCCCTCCCCGCTTCCCCAGACCCCACCATACGGATTGCCTACTCTGCACCCCCTTATCCCTGCCCCATGGGCTTCACCTAGACCCCGAACTTGGCTTCTCATCCATCATCCTCCATTGCATCCTGTCCTCCAAACCTTTACACATGTCATCGAACTGCATTCCCCCGGCCTTGCAGTACTTCAGTATCCATATCCCTTCGCCCTCATTAGCCCTTCTCTGCCTTGTACCTTCTCTGCCATTTACCACAAGCCCCCCTCCCATCCCCTCCAATCCATCCAACCCCTACCCCATCCAATCCACAACCCTCTTCCCAACGCTCACCCCACCCTGCACTGCCTGCATTGAATCTCCATGCCCATCAGCCCCATCCCCTTAATGCATCATTTAGCCCTGCTCCTCGGATCGTTCCATGCAGCCTTTCTTGCCACCGCCTGCCCCCCCCCCCCCCCCCCCACACAATCCCCAGCAAGTACTTAGTGCTAGACAGCTCCATGGGCATCCTCTCTGTTTCATCGCAATACTCCGCTCAGCCCTGCTCCCCTACCCTTTCCATACACATCCCTTCACCGCTTCCACACACTCCAATCCACATGCTCACGCCAGCTGCACGTATCCCCCTTGAATTCTCCACTCCCATCCACCAAATTTGACAGAATACGCAGCACACAGCCACACACCCATCAAAACCTGCCTCCTTAAGTTCTTCCATGCCCACCCTCTCCCTCTCATCGAGCCTTCATTCACACCTTGTTTGCCCCCTCTGCTTTACCCTTTCCATACACATCCCTTCGCCGCTTCCATAACCTCCTCCATGGCAACCAATCCACGCGCTCATGCCCGCTGCACATATCTCCTCCCATGAATTCTGTCCTCCCATCCACCGAATTCGACAAAATTGGCCACGCAGGGCCACACACCCGTCAAAACCTGCCTCCTCGTCCCTCCATGTCCCCACCCCCTCTCCCTGCGCCTCCATTCACACCTTGCTCATCCTCCTCTGCTCGCCATGTATGCCTTCCACCTTGCCACCCTACACCAATCTACACCATCAACGACGACCTCATTGCCCCAGTGCACCTGTGCAGCAGAGGTTGTCCCGGCACCTTCAGACCTCCAACTCCTCGCTTGCACCAACCCCACCTCCCTTTCAGCATTTCAAAATCCTTCCATCTGGACATGTATTCTCTTTGTCAGAGTTGTTTCACATTTCGGGAACACCATTGAAAATGCGATTCTATTCGATTCCAGGTGGCACAAGTGCAAGTGCAAGTGCAAGCAAAGAGAGACGAGTACAACGGTATAAAACGGGTATTAAGACAACAATTATGAAATAATAAGATCCGAAAAAAAAAATTCGATCCGAAAAAAATTCGATCCGAAAAAAAAAATACATCCGAAGTTGCAAACTGATACACAAGAAATGGATGTTTCCTTTTTAATACAGGGCAGGGCGAGGGGAGAGAGGGAAAAGCGGCACGCACCTAATCTAAGATGTCTACAAAGGAGAGCCTCTTCTACACCTTATTAGAGGGAAAGCCGGCTTCCTACAGGGCCCCATTCCCTTGGTGGCCAAATTTTATAAAACACCTTACCTTTCACCATGGCCGATGGCACAGGCCCATAGTGACGCGAATCCGTTGAATTTCGGATGTTGTCTCCTTGCAGCCAGACGTGGCCTTTAGGAACCACAACATGTCGCAGTTGTTCCGTTTCCTTGATGGGTACGATGGTTACACGGTCGCCGCTGACACCTACGATTCGCTTGCACACAATCAACCGAGGATTTGTGGGAGACTTCGCTACGACCACATCCCCTGCTTTTAGTCGATTCAGCTTCGTCGATACGTGCTCCAGCAAAACCACGTCGCCCGACGGGTTGAAGGTCGGCATCATACTGGGGCCCATGCACACAGTCACTTCCATAACGTAGCTGTTAAACACGTTCACAAAGCAGGCAAACTTGGTGAAGAGCGCCGCTCGCTCCCATCCTTCGCGCATCATCACCCGCCACGGTCCCATTGCAGCCAATGCAGCAATTCACTGAACGCAGCACCGCCTATGCTGTCCGCAACAGCACTGTTTCTTCTTCTTCTTCTTCTTCTTCTTCAGTGGCAGCAGCAGCGGCGACGGTGATGACTTGGCGACAGTGACAACAGCCATTCACAACAACACTCATGCAAATTGCTATCATCGATGAAATGGCCACTTCACACAACTGTATGCATCCCGACGCGAGGAGGGACCTCACCTCTGCTAAATAAAGCCGTGCAGAAAGAAAAACCTGTCACCAAGGACCAGACTGTTATTAAGTGTTAGAAACTGCAAACGGAAAACAAGACACGGCAATTTAAATTTATTTCTTCTCAAAAACGTGTTTCCATTCAGAAGAGGAGGCAACCATCACCTGCACTAGGATAAACAAGTCTGGAAGGAGAGGGAGGAAGGGAGGAGGGGGGNGGGGGGGGGGGGGGGGGAAGGAAGCATCCACATCCATAGCAGTCATCCAAATGCAGGGAAAGAAACGGTACTCATTCCCATGATGCTTCATCACACCTTGGCAGCATTTGAGAGGAGGGTGTAGGAAGGAGGCTACACGGAGCAGCACCGGGGACCACGGGGCGCTTTCGAAGCATTCAGTTGCTATAGCTGTACCTGGGGGGCAGAAGGTCTACACACATTCAAGGAAAAACATACCTCGGAGTCAAGGGCCTCCCTCCGCTACTCAACATTCAGCAGGTAGAAAAGAACGATACCAGCTTTTGCAACGAAAAAACAATCATCATCCAATACTGCGTGTGGTTGTCGCATCATATTACTTGCTTAACGTCGTCATTGGCAAATAACATAAGCCTCTGTTTGAAAAGAGAGTTTGATTTGGTATAATCACATGCAACACTCACACTTGCAGTACTGGACACACACTGACTCTGCTCTCCATACACAAATGAGAAGGGGTCTGTGTAAGCGGGGACACACAGCCAGTTGTTCGTGACCACGCGTGGCTCCTCACATCATATCATATCACTGGAATTCATCAAAAGCAGATACGGTAGCGTAGCCTCTTGCAGAGCATTGCAAAAACTTGAACCACCAGTACGGTAACTTCCTAAAGTCGTGTCCGTTAACAAGCCACAACGATTTTAGGAAATGTATGGGTCACTACAGGAGCGCCCAAATTCATCCGACTAGAAACGTTTCTAGTCTCTTTTTTTTCCCCTCGGCCGATAGCTGGGCCAAGTACTGGTGGCTCAAAAGTAGTTTCGAAAAAAGCCTGAAATCAACGGAACCAAAGCACTGATGAGTCGGTGTACAGCAAAGCGTCTCTATCCATCCTCCGTGGGCTGATAAAAAAAGAGAGTTCACTTAGTTAATAGTAGTCAATAATAGTACTGAATACTCACTTGTGAGAGGCATACTTGTGCTATTGGACAGTGTCAGACCAATCGCCACGGCCGGGGGATCGGGGTGATAGGTAGCAAGCACTGCAAATGATGAGAGACAGACTGGACATGGTTTGGGTGACAACACCCTGACGTCCATACCCAAGGGGGAATGCTCGTAGAACGCCCTGACCTCCATACCCAAGTAAATGGGGGGGCTCAAAACAGGATGTGCATAGATAAGATGGGGCTAACCAGGACAACATAATTTTTTTTCCCCTTTTTTTCCCTTTAATAAATACAGTACCGGCCTTGAGATAAACAGTTTGTCACAGCCCCTTGTGTCTTGTCGTCTTCTCCCTCTCTGCCTACGGTTTACCGGGCAGCTCCTCTGTTTGACGATATATATTGTCACATGATATCAGAGCGCCATAGCGAAAAAACAGAAAGAAAACAAGGAAAACAAAAAAAAACTTATTTCGTTTTTAATCTTCTTCCTTACAACTCCCCCTGTTCAAAACCTCTTTGCGTACAAGGCCCCGTCCACGTGGATGTAGGTTGAGCGGCGGCTGCCCCCACCCCCGTGTGTCATATCGACCCACTTGCACACAGTCAAAAGGCAAAGAGGCAAAGAAGAGAGGAAGGGAACGGCCAAATAAAACAGAACAGGGGGCAACAAAACAGATCCCAGATGACAAGTCCCACATGCAAGCACCGCCCCAACACACACAGGTCAAACGACGGGACAAGACCAACCAGGATGTCAAAACATTCTTGTCTGCAAAGAAATCAAAAAAAGGAATCCCAGATACATATCTATACACAGCAGATGGCCTTGTTCGACGTTGGTATTCCTATTCGCCGTCATCGTAAGCAATTCGTACCAGGACATCATAAAAACCAATCCTAGATGATGATTCCCACAAAATATATAACACCAGAGGGAAACAATTGGCTCTTGCGGACACGAAACCTGCAGACAAATGTCACCCCCATACTCTACGACAGCCGTGAAGTGGGAGATTCGTCTGTTCTCTATGCGAAGACAGTGGTCAAGCGCATGGGATATCCCTGCAAGGCTGGAAGACCACGCCCACCTAGATGCATAGTCAGCCTCTGATCTCAAAACCCGAACAGTATTGAAAACCGAGGACGGCATCGGCAGAAGGGCGCTGCACGGGTGACCAAAAGAAGGGGAGAGTGCTGCATCATTGTACTGGCGTTCATCCAAAATTAATCCTCTGTTTGAAAAGAGAGTTCAATCTACCGTAATCACTTGCTGCACTAATTCCCATCGCTCACATACAGTACATTCGAGTTCCACATCAGAGAAGGAGATGATAGATAGACAAAAAACTGGCCTACCATCTTCAGCCGAGTCGAAAGATCACGGTTACTATAGCTGCATTTGGGCCAACTTTCAGTCTAGATACAGCAATAATTCCCATACCTACCTTCTATTCCCGTGAAGACGGTAGGACTGAAAACTATCATCAACCACCACAAGTCCATCCATATACATCCCTTCGGCTGCGTCACTAGAAAATGCGATGTCACTCACACGCAAGACGCTAACGTAACTTTCAAGCGTGTGTTCGAGTGCACCTATTGCCTTTCAAGAGTGTATATTCGGTTTTCTCCCTTCTTTCATTCAAGAGTGTATTCTGTTTCTGATGGGCGGCAGAGAAAAGCAACTTGGCAGATGATATCTTCACATTCAGTGGAAGACGAACAAATCGTCCATTGTAAAAGAAAGAAGGGAGAAACATAACTACCTTCGACAATCATGCCACTAATTAAATGGAGGGGAGAATCAAGTATAATATCCAATTTGTGGTAGGGGGGGGGGGGGGGGGGGGGGGGGGGGTTGCTGCTGCATCATATTGCTAAACTTCTTCCAAGGCAAATAGTATATAGCACATAGCCTCTGTTTGAAAAAAGAGTGTCAATTCGGTATAATCACCTGCAGCAGGCAGGCATTCTTCTCATCATAACACGTACCATCGCCCGAAATACTGAGGATGGTTGCTGTTGCATCATATAGTATTACAAAACTTCGTCAAAACCAAGTAACATGGCCTCTGTTTGAAAAGAGAGTCAATTTTGATTTAATCACTTGCAACAACAGGCACACTTGTAGTGCTAGACAGGGAGGGTCACCTGATCTTCACACGAAAATGAGATTGGAGCTGACGAAGAAGGGCGGCGAGGAAGAAGTGATTTTGACAAAGCATGGCTGTCCCAATCATTCTTCTTGTTCAAGTGCTAAGCCTCCTAGCTACTTCTGAGACCGAAATAATACGAACTTTCTCTTCTCCAGGTAAAAGGATGTAATTAGATGTAATTAGACGTAATTAGATGTAATTAGACGTAATTAGATGTAATTAGATGTAATTAGATGTAATTAGACGTAATTAGATGTAATTAGACGTAAAATTAGACGTAATTAGATGCCACACAGTGTGGCACCGAACAGAACGCGTGGAGGGCTGCACAGTAGGTGGTCAGCTCCAAGCTCCTGGTATATTTCTGATTTCTAGTCGATCAAGAATGGAGAGTACACAGGAGAGTTAAACCATCAGGACAACCCGGCCTGGAGGTGCAACACAGGAGGTTCGGTGGTTGGACAGCCAAGATACACAGGTGAGAAGGTGGGTGTACACAGTGCTAGCGATCGTGGAGTGGTCACGACTACTATGGGGTCATTAAAAAAAAAGGGAAAAAAAAAAAAAACACCTTGGTCCCGACAGAGGTCTCCCGAGAGGGGTCTCCCGAGAGGGGTACAGATTGGTCGCGATTGTGTAGTGGTGAAGACTAGAACACGAGTGCTGACAACTCAATCGCAATCACGTGCGCTTTTCCGAGAGGGGTCTCCAGAGAGGGGTCTCCCGAGAGGGGTCTCACGATGGCTTAGGATGCTTCCATGGGTGAGACCCCTCCTCTCGGGGAAGCGCACGACAGTTCATTAGCACACAGAAAAAAAGCCCGTTTACTAGACTTCAAGACTACGGGCCTAGCTCCACCACTCACAACATGCACACAAGACAACAAATATGGCCGCCTATCTTTCCATGTTCTAGCGGAAGATTCATTCTCAGTTTGCACATTTGGTGAGTGGTAGAGCCAGGCCCTATTCCAAAGAGGCGAACATGACCCTGACACACGACGTCCTCGCCTAACCGTTGTAATCCCATGGATATGGATTCACAACGTACTCATAATGTAGTCGCGTTCCAATCAGTCAGGGCGGTCAACCCTGAGAGCCTGCCTACACGCCGGTTTCCTAACGTCGAAGGAATGAACCAGTAGAGGAGGCGATCCTTCATATTTAAGCCCACAGGGAACGAGAGATTTCCAGCCATCATTATGGATTCTGGAGATCTCTAGCAAAAAGTGGCCTTTCAAGACTGCTTCCAGGACGGCAGACAGACATGACCGTCACTAATGAACTCATCGTGAAGCAGATAATACACTTACCAACGATGTCCTTCGGGACATCCGTTAAAAGGATTGGAACGATACAGAGAGAGAAGATTAGCACGGCCCCTGCGCAAGGATGACACGCACAAATCGAGAGAGAAAAAAAAAAAAAAAACAATGTCGTCCTTCCAATCAGGGCGGTCAACCCTGATAGCCTGCCTACATGCCTGTTTCCTAACGTCACAGGAATGAACCAGTAGAGGAGGCGATCATTCGTATTGGCCACAGGGAACGAGAGATCCAACCATCATCATTTTGGAGATCTCTAGCAAAGTGGCCTTTATATAAGGTTGTTACTTACAAGACGGCAGATCTGAAAGGGCCTCTCGCTCCACTGCTCTCCATTATATGCACAAAAGACAAATACTAATATGGCGGTGTATGTTCCCATGTTCTAGCGGAAGATTCATCGCGTTTTGCACAGAGTAGCAGAGCGAGGCCCAAAGTCACAGAAGTGGTCGCCGAAAAGATGTTAGGCACATACACTCACAGAGTGCTCGAGATGTAGTGCACCTGTCAATCAGAACAGTGAACCCTGACAGCCTACACACCGATGACATGCCACAGAACCATAAACCAGTACGATGAGACCAAATTTCATATTAACCATAGGGAACGAGACATTTTTTTTCAAGCCATCATTCTGGATGTCTCTAGCAAAGTGGCCTTTCAAGACTGCTTCCAAGATATACTCGCCGCGCTCAAAGTATAGTCCTCCCCCCAATCAGGGCGCTCAAAATATAGTCCTTCCAATCAGGGCGGTCAACCTTCACAGCCTACAGGTCCGTAACATGATGCCTCGCAAACAATTCACCAGCAGAATGGGACCAATTTTTTTTTATTTTTATTTTTTTTTGGACCAATTCATATTTGAACCACAGGGAACGAGACATTTTTTTCCAGCCATCATTTTTTGGAGGTCTCTAGCAAAGCGGCCTCTCTCTCAAGATTGCTTCCAGGACAAACAGACATGACCGCCCAAAAAAACGGACATCCGTAAGCGCGTGCAGCATTCACTACAGAGTCGTCGAGAATTTCGAGTCCTTCCAATCAGGGCGGCCAACCCTAACAGCCTACCCTAGAATGGAACATGCCGCACAAGCATGCATCCACCCTAGAATGAGACCACATTCATATTTTCCACAGGGAACGAGAGATTTTCAACCTACCTAGATAAGTGCAAGGGTTATCATAGCAACACCCCTACCTAAGGGTTAAGAAAAAAGCGGCCTCGTATGCTAACCAGTGTGAAGGGAAACTAAAAGGACGACGACGATCATTTTAATATTGGAAATAAAGCAACTCTTCCATAAAAAAAAAAAAAAAGGACGACGACGGAATTAGATATACCATCCTGTTTGTATATATATATATTGCTGAGGAAACCCACAAAAAAAAAAACAAGATGACCCGTTGATTCGCTAGCAAGAATTTAGGAGGGAATACCGACGAACTCTTTTTTCTTTTTTGCGGTAGCCACAGTACTTCGCCCCTGGTACATGTGGTGTTCCATGGGAGGAACGTTATCTTTCTTGTGTGGTCTGCAAAGACCCGCACGGTTGCAGGCTGAGAACTCGGCACTTTTCGGAGGAAATGCTGTCCTGTTCATCTGTTTGATGAGAATTCCAATCCCCAATCTGTTTGCTGTGTTTGTATCGGATCAGCCAATGTTGTACGTATGCCGTGCTTGCCTGCTCTCTCTCTCTCTCTCTCTCTCTCTCTCTCTCTCTCTCTCTCTCTCTCTCTCTCTCTCTCTCTCGCTCGTGGATAGTTGAGACACGGACTTCCCTTCTCTCTCTCTCTCTCTCTCTCTCTCTCTCTCTCTCTCTCTCTCTCTCTCTCTCTCTCTCTCTCTCTCTCTCTCTGTGTCTGTGTCTCTGTGTCTGTGTATGCGCGTGTGCGTGTGTACCGCCAGGGAGCAGGATCTGCAGCAGGAGGTGAATGTGGAGGACGACGACGACAACATGAAAACCGTTGTGGCATTTCTAGCCTCAGTGTACCTGTGATGAGGTCTTCCAGGCGCACTCACCCGAGGCTCAGGAGGACGACGTGGAGGAGGACCGCATAAAGGAAAAAGACATGGCAACCCCCTTGGAGTCTTCCTAACCGCTGTTCAAGTATGATGACGGCCTTTCCCGCACGCTCGGCCAGGCTGAGCGATATTGGCATCCATCCCAGCCAGAAGGATGACAAGGAGGAGAAGGATGATGTGGAGGAGCCGAAGTGGAGGAACCATCACATAGAGAAACAAGGACATGGAGGATAAAGAAAGATGAGGAGGAAGGGCCATGGTCAACAAAATAGAAAGCAAAATAGGTATATCAATAAAGAGAGACAAACGAGATCACCATAGCCTCATCCTCCCCCCCTTTTCCCTCCAGCTTCGTCACATCAGCATCCTCACCTTCCCATTCCCTCTCGACATCATCATCCCCATCTACTCTCTCCTCCCCCTCGTCTACGTCCACACAATTTATCTTCCCATCATCATCGATTTCTCCTTCCCTCCTTTCCAGTGCTCTCCTGGAGGTAGGGAGGACATTGACCTCCGTGGCTTCCACATGGAACTGGACATATGCAGAGGCTGAGGAGGAGGAGCTGAACGAAGCGCAGAGGAGGACACGAGGGAGGACAACAACAGAAACACGTGCAGGATGTAAGACATTGAAGGGGGGGAAAGGGAGGAAGGGATATGGTAAAGCGAAATAGAAAGAGAAAACCCGAACTAATCAAGAGAGCCAAATGAAGCCGCCATATCCCCCGACGCCTTTTCCCATCCCCGCTTCTTGCTGCTGTCAGCAAAGTCATATTCCTGCCCCGCCTGCTCCTCATCTCACCCGCTGATATCTACCAAAGTACTTCTCCGCCTGTCGTATTCTCCT